GGTCACCCGAAGATGATCCCGAAGTTCACGCCGGCTCCCGAACGACGCCATGCAGCACCGACATGTGGCTGTCTCTGCTTCTATAGTAAACAATAACGATCCCCAGAATAGTTAATGTCGTATATTTTGAAAGAATATTTAAATAAATATATATTCTTTTGACCTATTTGCAATGAGTTTTTTTTTTTTTTGTTAAAATAAATTAAAATTTAATTATGAGCCATTTATAAATAATCTTCTCCTCGTTCAGATGTGAAAGAATAATTCTATCCTGTCAATGTAAAAAAAATTCGGTCATTAAAACGAATGAATGCATACGATTAACTTTATTTTATTTTTTTATTTTTTTTTTATTTTATTAATATACAAACCTTCAGGTTCTAGCTGACTATCAGTAAGCATAGGCACGTCGAGCAGCTCTTCGATCGTCCCCGATGCATTGTCGTCATCGTCGTCAATGACAATGACGTCATCATCAATCTCCGGCGACTCAAACCGTTGATGGTGAGTCTGCGGCGGAGTTGGTAACGGACCACAGTGCGACGCGTGAGTCACCGCATAGTGCTCTCGAACATGATCATGACAAGAAAACGTCCTGTCACAACATTCACACTCGTATCCACCGGTCTGTAGATGGACCGACTGATAATGGTGCAGGGCGTGTTCATGACACGAGAATGGTCGATCGCACACGGGACACACGTTCGGACCGAGGTACGTCGACGGCGGTGGTGATTGCACGTCTCCGTTCATCTACAGCAAGACACGCGACAGAAATAATAATTAATTATTCATAAAAAAAAAATAAATAATATCTTTGATTATGCCAGTGTAGTCTAAAATTTAAGCTAAACCTGTCCTGAACCAATGTCACATATTCAAAAAATAGAATAGCATTTGAGTAAAAAAAAAAAAATAATAATAATACCGTATGCAGTATATAGTAACCACTCAGTTCCGGAGGTGTAGGATGACCAGGGGCGGGGGATGGGGATGTGCAGAGGGAGGGGAAGGTGCAGTGGGAGGGGGAGGTGCAGGGGGAGGGGGAGGTGCAGGGGGAGGGGGAGGTGCAGGGGTGAGGGGGAGGTGTAGGGGTGAGGGGGAGGTGCAGGGGTGAGGGGGAGGTGCAGGGGTGAGGGGGAGACACTCACACGCATGCGCACCCACACGCACGCGCACCCACACAACAAACTATTTTTAAAATTTTTATAAAGTCAAAAGCTTTGTTGCTTCCTATCATTCATAATATAGCATAAATAATCTGTAACTTATTTTTAGCTTTGTTTTAGATAAATAACTATATTTATATTTGCATGTAGAATTTATTGTCTTTCTAAAAACCGTGTTCTTATTAAATTATTCTAATTTTTTTTTTATATTTATAACATAAGTGTTATTTATATGATTAAAACTGTTGCAATAGGAAATGTCTACTCACTGTTCTGTTAAAGTTACAAAGAAGGAAAAATGAACTGTTTGCTGCCAGAAACAAGAAAATGAAATGTGTTTTTCATCCCGCGCGTGCTTTGCATGGCACATGGGATTATGTAATTAATTTAAGAATTGCATGAATGAAATTGATTGAATTGAATTGAATTGAAAAAATTTGAACTTATTTTTAATGTATATGTGTTAGAAATATTGTTCAAAGAAACATAGTAATGTTTAATGTGATTCGATGATTTTGCAATATGATAACGCCTCGTATTACAGACAGGAGTACTTCTTTTAATAATATAAATTTATCTTTAAAATAAAATGAATTAGCAATATTAAAATATTATTCAAAATAGACTCACAGAAAATTAACATTGACTTTGACTTGACGTTTATGCAATATGATAAAGACATGTATAATAATTACAACTGATTTTAATGGATTTCAATTTGTTTAAAGTACAATAATATTAAAATATTTTTTTTTCATGAGATAGACTCTTAAAAAAAATAAACACTGCCTTTGACTCGATGATTACACAATATGCCAAAGACAGTTATTATAATTGTTAAATCTCCTAAAATGTGTAGTAATACTATTATACACTTATTATGTATTAATATTAACTCTAGTACTTACGATTTAATCCAAACAAACACTTGCACAACACTGTTCACTAATTTCCGTTGAGCGTGGTAGCTAAGAAACTAACAACTGCACACAGCGAACTCCAAACCCTAACTGAAGCTCTTGTGGCAAAAGGCAGAGACACGACGCACGGAGGGTGGAATCTTCCACGAAGATCCAGTGGTAAACAACACTTGTTCCTTTGTCGGTGTCAATCGACGGAACGTTCTAGAAGGTTTCCTTTGTTAGTGAACTAAACAAAGCTTTTTAGATACTTGTCAAGATTTGCTCACCTTCGTCAAATGTAATGGTCTTACTAAAAGCTTTTAGAAACTCAAATAATGGATCCGTCAATCACTCGTTAAGTGGATTTCTTTGTCTGTGCCAATAGGCAGAGACACGACGCACGGAGGGTGGAAACTCCGCGAAGATCCAGTGGTAAACAACAGGTGTTCCTTTGTCGTCGACAATCAAAGGAACGTTCTCGAAAGGATCCTTTGTTAGTGAACTAAACAAAGCTTTTTAGATGCTTGTCAAGATTTGCTCACCTTCGTCAAATGTAATGGTCTTACTAATGGATCTGTCAATCACCTGTTAAGTGGATTTCTTTGTATCCTAGGATCAAGGGGAGTGCCGCTGATAATTGCTTTCCGTTGTATTGAAAAATCAAAGGGATAGCCGACTACACCTCTCTCCGTTGGAGGTCTAGCACATCCCAGGATGTGCCGGTGTATCGAAACATCAAAGAGAGCGCCACCGATAATTGCTTTCCATTGTATCGAAGCTTCAAAGGGATAGCCACCAGCACTTCGCTCCGTGGGTGGTCTGGCACATCCGGAGGTGCAGGATGACTAAGGGGGATGTGCAGGGTGAGGGGGATGTGCAGGGGGAGGGGGATGTGCAGGGGGAGGGGGAGGTGCAGTGGCGTGGGGAGGTGCATGGCGGGGGAGGTGCAGGGGGAGGGGGATGTGCAGTGGGAGGGGGATGTGCAGTGGGAGGGGGATGTGCAGGGGGAGGGGGAGGTGCAGTGGGAGGGGGAGGTGCAGGGGGATGTGCAGTGGGAGGGGGATGTGCAGTGGGAGGGGGATGTGCAGGGGGAGGGGGAGGTGCAGTGGGAGGGGGAGGTGCAGGGGGAGGTGCAGGGGGAGGTGCAGGGGGGAGGGGGGGGGGAGGTGCCACCGTGGGTGGTCTGGCACATCAGTGCACATCAATTGCACATCGCGCAAGGTACCCATAGTCCAGTCAAGGAATGAGGTGTAGAGTGCGTGAGCAGGTTACTAAGCGATTACTTCAGAAACTTGTTCAGGGGCCTTAGGGTGTTAACATACCAAAAGTCCTGACTCCTAGGTGGTGAGCCAGGGGGTGGAGGGGGGAAAAAGGGGGGGGGAAGGTACGCATTTTGGGTTTTTTGATTATATCTCGAAAACTATCAACTTTTTGTATACTATAGTAAATTATAAAATTGAAGAAGATTAAATTTTCTACAAGAAAAGTATATAATGTGTTTATTTTGGTTCAACAGATTACGAGTTATAACTTATTTAATTGATATCTTATTAAAATCTTCTTCCATAAGAAATACATGTAAATGAGTATGCGAAATGGGGCGAATCCTATCCGCCCAAATGAAATATAAATAATATTCTGGAAATCTTGACAAAATTTCCAGTAATTTGACACTTTAATCATTAAAATTGATCCAAAATTAAGGCGAGGGTGAGGTAACAAAATTTCGAGTTTTGGTGTTTTTTTATTGGAAATATAAAAAAAATCCTTAAATCATCCCATTTTTAAACGCTCACCCTCGCTTTAATGTTTGACAAAATTTCATGATTAAAGTGTCAAATTACTGGAAATTTTGTCAATATTTCCAGAATATCAGTTATATTTCCTTTGGGCGGATAGGATTCGCCCCAATTCGCATACTAATTTACATGTATTTCTTATGGAAGGAGTATTTTAATAAGATATCAATTAAATAAGTTATAACTCGTAATCTGTTGAACCAAAATAAACACATTATATACTTTTCTTGTAGAAAATTTAATCTTCTTCAATTTTATTATTTACTATAGTATACAAAAAGTTGATAGTTTTCGAGATATAATCAAAAAACCCAAAATGCGTACCTTTTTCCCCCCCTTTTTCCCCCCTCCACCCACTGGCTCACCACCTAGGAGTCAGGACTTTTGGTATGTTAACACCCTAAGCCCCCTGAACAAGTTTCTGAAGGAATCGCTTAGTTACCTGCTCACGCACTCTACACCTACTTTTGGATCATTCATTGACTGGACTACCATAACAATACTACTTTCGTCGATTACTTTTTGAGTATGGCTCACGTACTTGCTCCAGAGATCCGGTGTAACCGCCGACACAGCATCTGTGAAAAGCTTCTCTACATCCTTCAGTTTAAAGGTATGGTTCCTTTCCTGAACATACGACTTGACAAAGGCCCATACCATTTCAATTGGGTTATATTGGCAATGGTATGGGGGAAGTCGAAGCACCTTGTGTCCTAATTCTGCTGCTTTGCTGTCAACCACGTACGTTGGGTATGGTGGCTTGTGCAACTTGACCAAATTGTAGACTTCAGGTTTTCTCAAATCTTCAGGAAAGCACACACCTTTCTCTTGCAGCCAAGTCTGCATTTCCGATTTCCTGGAGTTTGAGGTAGGATGTTTATCCTTAACTCTAGAATGATAGCTGGCATTATCCATTATTATTGTACTTCCAGCTGGCAATACCATTTGGCATAGTGTCAAAAAACCATTTCTCAAAAACCTCCGCATTCATCTCCTCGTGGTAGTCATTGGTGGCTTTCGATTGAAAAATTAAAGGAGGTGCGTTGATCCACCCATTTTTACTACCGGCGTGACAAATTATTAGGCGCTTGCCTTTGCCAAGTGGAGTGCCTAACGTCCCCTTAACAGAGTCATCCGTCCAACCTTTCGTAACAGACGCATTTTGATTTATCCATGTCTCGTCCAAGAAAAAAAGGCTTATCTAGGTCAATGTTACGAGCTTTTCGTAGGAATTGGCATCTCTTCAAAGCTACAGACGGCTTCTCCATTAGAACCTTCCTGTTGTTGCATTTTTTGTAGACGAAGCCTAATTCTTTCAAAACTTTGGCAAGAGAAGTCTTACCTCCACAAAAAAGTCCAGCTTCCTTCAAAGAATGACCTAATTTTTTTAAGATGGGCACTTCTTTCCGCTCGTAGTAACTGACGATGTGGCGACGGATTGCTGATTTTCCAAAATCATCCAAATTTGTCACATGTCGCTCCCGAACTCGGAGTTTGTTTTTCCTTGGAGTGCTGAGGATGATTCGTCGCTTCCTTGTAGTTGTACTGGCGCATGTTGAGTCTGGAGTTTCAATTACGGCTTCATCAATATCCTCGTCGTTCTCGAGCTGATGGTCGTTCAATTCAACTGCTTTTTTTCTCTCGACGTTTCACCGTAGCTATGGGTACACCGCATGCCTCAGAAACTCTCTCCAACACTTTTGTAACGTCTTTCAAAGGGCCCATACTGTCTTTTTCTAAGTAAAAATAATTTATTACACTAGCCACTATGGTCCTTGCCTGGGAATGATACACTTTAGATTTTTTATCACTCATTGTCACGTAACAACACAAAATAAAACCGTAGTATTTTATGACGCACTATAATCGATTTAAAAAAAAAAAAAAACAACTCGAAAAAAACAACGGTTAAATACAACGGCAGACACAGACACAGTTTACAACAAAAGGCACAAACTATTACTGAGCATCGCTCATAGTTTAACTATTATCCTGAAAGAACTTTGAATATTAGTCACAAATAGATATGAATCATCACTTCGAAGGCATAGTTTGAAGAAAATGATGATTCATTTCATATTGTCATCCTTACCCTGTATCGTTACCAGCTTTGTCCGACTTCCAGATCTTAGATATTAAGTAATTACATCGTGTTTGGGCTCATTATTTTCAGAATTTCGTGTAGAAATCAAATATATAAATAACAATTTATTTTAAATTAAAATAAAAAAAATTGCAAATCTGTGGGACTGGTACTGTAGATGAGTCATTGTTTGTCGCTGGCTAGCCCGGCCGTGTGCTCCCACTATCTCCGCGTTCCGCCATCTCCGAACCCAAATCTGTCCCGCCACCTCCGAATTCTTGAGTGACCCTTATAATCCCGTCACTGCCTGCGTTGTTAGCTGTCATTGCATCCACGGCTGCGAAGCCCCGTGGATGGAAGATTTAATGAAAATTTAACCCGTGGGTTAGGTTAGGTCAGGTCAGGTTAGGTTAGGTTGGGTTAGGTTAAGTTAAGTTAAGTTAGGATAGGTTAGGTTTGGGCGGAAAGTCTTAACGCAGGAAGTAACCGAGGATTATAGGGGTCACTCTGAAATTCGGAGGTAGCGGTACACGGAGATGGCGGGACGCGGAGATAGCGGGAGGTAACCAGCCCGGCGAGCGGTCGGGGAGGGTCGGTCGAGTTCCGAGAAGCGTCCTAATCCGCTGGGTATCACAGCCGAACGGACAGACTATAATGTAAACAAACAAGATGAAATAACCAACAAACAATGCTTAGCAACAGTTACTATGGCATTCTTTCAGCTGTTATTTTTGCAGGCTTACCAACAGACAACAAGGAAATAAAATAACCACAAGTTGTAGCAAAACTCATAAGTGTATAAGGATATTACTCTGCAAATCGGTCTAAAAATATGGTGTCATACATTTTATTTTAATTTTTTTACACTAAAAATATTTTTTTACACATAGATTGTTATATATATTCTTAAAGGGAATTAAATGGAGATTTTCTTACAATAAAAAAATAAAAATCGACATTTTTGACCCCAAAAAGGTACCAACTCCCATGTAATACACACCAGTGAATACCCAGATGTTTGGTAGGGCGTGTCTCATCAGCATCATTCGTTTTCGGTGATATGCCTCCTGGTTGTTATTGGTTCTTCTGGCTTGTCTGAAAACTGACAAATTGCCAGCACCAACACCTGCAATGGTTTTAAGTACTGTACGCGTAAAAAATATACATAGGGTATTTACATTCAGGATTAATTTGTTTCAATCCTCAATAACATCAGCTACATTGTAAGGTATTTAAAGTATCTTTGGTCAAAAAGAGTTCATATGTAAATGTACTGTAAAAGGTAAGCGATATGTTATGCCTTTTTTGTACAATTTAAATTATATCTACATATGGTGTACACATTTTTGTACACGTTTAATTACTTGCAGGCTTATAACTGCCCAGTAATGCCAACTGCTAAAATTGGTAAAAACCCCCTTATGAGGGCATCGATACAAAACTTAAAGTAACTACAAAAATAAAGTAACTGGCCGTGGAAGTAATTTTAACACATATGTCAGAGACATAATAGCCCATCTACAATACAACCTGCATTATGCTAGGTCCAACCATGGATAATCATAATTATGTAGGCCTGTTAATTAATACACAATGAATCAATGACAATACCTTCTATCCACATACATCGTACGTAGGTGAAAAATTGCTGTAATTCATATTACATTCTGTTTTGCTCAGCAAACATCACTATGCTATCCAAACCAGCCGAAATGTTTCTGGGGAATGGGAGCTAGGGAGTTCCATCGCCATATTCACCGCCTTTCTCGCCAATTCATTAGTGCGTAGCAGGTTCGTTAGGCCTAAATTTCTCGCCTTTTTCCTCATAGCCTACGACGTATTTTGGATACTGATTATGCGGATGGAAAGTTATGTATGAATGAATACATAAAATAATAATAAAGCAATAATAATTTAGGTGTTTATTTATTAAAGTAATTTTCATTTCTGAAAGTAATGAGTGGAAACCTCGATTAGTAGGCTTTTAGCACAGATGGTTTAAACACAACACTGATTCACGGTCATTTAGGTAAGACTTGTTTCGGCTTCTTTGATGAATGAAACTTAAAAGTAACAAAAAGATATATAATTCTGAGCAATGCACAGACAAAACTCTAATTTTATTTATATACATTTTAGATGTTTTTATATCATGAAAATCCTTTATATGTAGAACTGTTTTTATTTTTTTAACGTGTCCTACAAATTAATCACCACGAGCAATGCTCAGTCCGTAAATAATTATACGACCGTCAACGCGATAACATATACGCGATATTAACATTTGACTAAAACACATTTTATTACCCTCCTAATATTGTAGCAGCAACCCTAGCTAGGTATTCCTTAAATCTAATGTTATTCTAATAAACTTAAGTACAGGGGAGCGAGCTGGCGTAGTGGCTAGAGCGCGGGACTTCGGTCCATGAGGTCCCGGGTCCGATCCCCGCCAAGTCACCAATGGATTTTACCCAAGTGATAATGCCGCAACCCCTAGGTCTAGCCTGAAGTAATGTGAAAAACAATCCCAGGCTCGTGCCTAGCGTCCTAGGACAAAAAAAAAAAAAAAAAAACTTAAGTACAAATAAAACCAAGCTAATGGAAATTAGCTTAGTCTGCAAGTTTGCTGCGGCGAGGGTATTTTACCTTTTATGGAAATTTTGCAATTAGATAAATAGGAGTTTAACTTATATTGGCAGAATGAAATCAGCAACCGACGGTCGGAAAACCCTCGGTGACCGCTGATTGGAGACTTATTTTAAATTCTGTAACTATTACTTTTGCGTAGCATATGTAATCTTTGCTATTACTATTACTTTTGGATTTAGGTTTGGCACTTGATCCTTTATGAATTGCATTACCTTAGTATATGCAGCCAATGACTTCCTTTCCATTAATATGTAAAAAACCGGAAAGGTCTGAAAATGCAATAATAATATAAACTCCAATTATATAATACTAGCAGCTACCTGGCGCGCGTTGCTGCGCTAATAATTATTAGTTTAAATGGTAATTTGTCCTTTACGCTAAATAATAAAATTTATGTTTAATACAGTATAATATATGTTGTATAATATATATTGTAATGACCTAACCGTCAAAAGCTGTCGTGATTCAGGAACTGACGGCCTTACTTTAAAGGTCCTGTCCATGTGGAGTTCTTCAGTGCTATTCAGTTCTTCCAGTAAGAGCTTAGATCCAAAGATCAACGAAACACTTTCATAATCATCATCTTGCACTGAGCTCAAAACTAATTCATCTCCAGAGATTGTGTTTGACTATGCTAAATTCCTTTCTCGTTGTAGCATTTCATCAAATTCGGATACTGTCCATGGAATGATATCTCTTGTCTGCTTCTAGCAGAAATGTTGCAGACTTTAATTCCGTGAACCCAATCCTTCCTGTTACATGCAGAGGTACTCTGAAATAAGGTTTAGTCATCGATATTTAATTCTTACTAATAAGCAAAACAATACCATGTATTTCCGTTTAAGCCTTTATTTGCGTTCAGCTGTGATAAACAAATGGGGGTTAGGAAATTAAATTAAACCACATTACTAACTATTATAATACCAATACACAAACACCAAAATTTTGGGTTGTCGAAGTAACACCACATCTTCACGTTTGTTAGTTTCAATATCCAGTGTCATCTTGTCCTCGTGGGGAAGGTCCGAAGCCTATATAGCCTACAATATGTTGTTAATTAGGACTGTCAATGAAAATTTTACAGAAATATATATTAGCATTTATAGTGGCTAATGCATAGTAACTATCAACAGAATCATTTCCGATTTGTGAAACCTTTTGACGTTTAAGAGTATATGTGATATTTTCAAATGAACCTAGATCCATCTCGAAACCAGCTGGCTATTCTTTATAAAATGTACATAAATTTCCATGAAAACTACTATTTTAAAAAGTGAACCATTATTCTCATTTAATTACTACACTAATTATGCTCCATTAACAGTTATTGATTGTACAAGACAGAATGAATCTATTAAGCGTGGGCCAGTTGACATAAGGATGGAATTTGGATAAAAAAATACCTTGCCGGAAAACACTACAATGAACTATGGTGATTTCAATGCATGACCTTCCCAGTGGCCAAAGTAGACAGCCTGAATTTTAAAATTCGAGGATGTCGTTTCATGACGACCAACTCTCCAACTGATCTTGACTTAAAAGGGCAACTTTTGTGATAGAGCTCACTAAAGAGCAATGTCCACTTACGAATAAGCCTTTATTAACCTCGATGACTTGAAATGGGGAAGGTTTCACTCTTGCACTCTGAAACTCTTCATACCAATCCTCAGGCAGTTCCGCCCACTATTTCAAGTCAGATTTATGCAGACCATATTTCGGTAGCATTCCAAATAAGAATGGCCACATAAATGGAAATTCATCTCAACGCTATCGAGCCTTTTTACATGATAGACCAGATAGTGAACCATTCTAATCATGGTCTAGTTTTTATTTTGGCCACCACATGAGTCACAGAATATATCTAGCTCTTTGGCTTTTGGGTCCAATTTGGTCATAACGAAATAAAAAAAAATAAGCTACTTCATATGCTCCTTTCTTTACTACTGTTTCGTCGTAAGCATAGTAAGATTCATTCGACGATACGACATGTATTTTAAACATGCAAATTTAATTTATTTTATTATAACTTTATTTTAGTGAGCTGGCGTCTGTAATACACATAGTTTGTCTTTATGTCTGAGACTGGCAAGTTGTTTTGTTGTTTTTTTTTTTTTTGTTTCTTTTATTCATAGTTATACTTTATTTGTTGACTGCTCAGTCTTGATTGTTTCTTCCTGACGTAAAACATGTCAGCTTTGGTTAAATGAAGTTTGTTTTCTATCGATAGTTTTTTTTTAATTTATCTTCCGGTGTACTTTTTTCCTCCTTGATAATTGTTTAACCCTGTCTGTATAGCTTTTACCTCTGCTATGTAAAAAGCACAGTTGCAACACGTGCTATGCGTGGATATCCAAATCCTATATTAAAGTTTTCGTTGAAAACTTGCCTATATCGTTCTCAAGATGTATTGATAATGTATTGGAAATAACTAAAAATCTTTCAAACAAGACCAATAACTGACTTTTGACGTGGGCTATTTTAAACCTTATCTAGAATGTACAGCTGTATTTTTAACACCCGCTTCTTAACATTATGCATGTTCAGACACTAAATATTCTGTATTCTAAACAATGTCCATGATCCAAATATTAGGGGATAACCATTAATTCAATTAACATCTAGGATCAGGAAAACCTTTGGAAGAAGTTGCTTATTCCAGTAGACAGCCTAAACCAACAGTTTTTGATAATGTTACAGAAATTATGTTGTTTGCGATAATGTGAGCTCCAGTGCAAAACTGGAGCTAATCGAAGATATTATGAATAATCAGCCTCTCTTTCAATGCAAAAAAATACTGACTATTAGATATAAAAATAATACAAAATATATGAACACAACTCTTGATACATGTTTATTTCTTAATAATAAATGTAAACATTGAATTATTTACAATATGAAATTATTCCAGTCATATGATCAATATTAAATAAAAGATAGATTATTTGGAATATATAACAATTCCTCCCTACTTATTTAAGAGAATGTTCATTTACAAGTTCATCCTTTTAATTGGTTTTCTTATTCTCAATGAGCGGCGAATTTTAGGGACAGGAACATCTGGTTGTGAGTTTGCATTGGACACTTCAGCGTCTTGTTGTGTACTTGGCTCTTCGGCCTCTTGTCGGCTGCTTGTACGATGGATTGTACTTGACGCTTCATTGTTATGTATAGGGCTTTTTTTCTTCAATATTAGGCATAGTGCTTGCTGTAGGACCCGATGTTTCAGTGTCTATAGTTCCTTCCCAGCTTGGGGTGTTACTTGAGACATTTTCTGTATCTTGTGACTTTTCTGAATTGCTTATTGATTTCCTTAACATACCGTACCTTGTATTTCCCATGAATATCGGTTGTCTTGAACAATTTTGATTGGTATTTTGGAATATTAAAGTTCGATTAGTTTGCTTTGGTGGTACTTTGGCTTTTGGGTCGCATCGGTTGTTTGAACTTTCTTGTCTTGTTTGTGTCAATGAGCTAGGTAGAGGGCTTTTGTAATGAGTAGAATCTTTTGGCACTTGGCAAGATCGAAGTTGATTGAAGTGGCGTTTTATCACATACCCATCATCAATTTCTACGAGATAGTGAAGTCGTCCCATTCTTTCCACCACAGTTCCAAATTTCCACAGAATGGATCCTGCGTAATTTCTTGATTGTACTCTCTCCCCAATATTGTAATGTTTGTTAAATATTGGTTGTTGAGCCTCATTTTTGTCATCTTCGCCAGGCCTTAAGAGATCTAGCTTGGTTCTCAAGTTCCTGCCAAACATTAATTGTGCTGGGGATGCACCAGTACTCAGTGGTGTAGCTCGGTACCGAAATAATAGTGCACACAGTTTTTCATGTAAAGTGCCCTGTTCAAACTGCATGCACCTCAGTTTTGTCTTGAGTGTTTGGCAAAATCTTTTCGCTTGACCATTTGTAGAGGGGTTTCCTGGTGCAATGAATCGTTGTCTTATTCCTTGGCGTTTACAGAATGCTTGAAACTCTGCAGATTTAAAAATTTTGGCATTGTCACTGACCAATATTTCTGGTAGGCCATGGTGACTGAATATTTCTCTGAGGTAATGAATAGTACTGGCAGTTGTTGGCGCACTTTTTATCGGATATATTTCTGGCCACTTTGACCTGGCATCTACAACAATCAAGAAGTTGTGATTCAGAAAAGGTCCTGCGTAATCCATGTGGACTCGCTGCCAATTGCGTTTTGGTATTTCCCAAACATGGGTAGGAGCCTTCTCTGGATTTTTCTTATTCTCACAACATGCCTTACAACTTGCCACCATACTCTCAATATATGTATCAATGTTTTTCCAGTAACAGTAGTTTCTTGCCAGACTCTTCATCCGCACTATTCCTACGTGTGTTGAGTGTAATTCTTGGAGGATTTTAGGTTGTAGCTTTTTTGGAATGATAACACGATTTCCTCTAAAAATAATTCCGTCTTGAAGTGATATTTCTGGGTCAGCGACTTCTCCGTTTAGGAGCTTTTCCTTTAAGCGAAAGAGTTCTTCGTCAATTGATGTTTCTTTTTCTATGTCTTTAGCCATGATTGTATCGGTTGTTATGCAGTGTATTGTCTCTCTTCGAACAGTGTAATCTTCGTCAACCACATTTATATTCTCTTCTTTTATGGGTAAGGGATGTCTTGAGAGGTAATCTGCATTACAGTGGTCGTTTGATTTTTTGTGTACAATCTCATAATGAAATCCTGAAAGAAAATGAGCATATCTAAGCATCCTGGATGAAGTCAACAATGGTAGTTTCTTGTCTGGATGAAATATGGTCATCAGTGGTTTGTTGTCAATGGCAAGAGTAAACTTCCTTCCGTATATATAATCGAACATTTTTTTACATCCCCAATATACAGCAGTTGCTTCTCTGTCCAATTGGCTATAGTTGCGCTCTGCAGCAGTGAGGGATCTGCTGGCAAACACAATAGGCCTCTCTTCATTATTTGGCATTTTATGAGACAGCACAGCTGATAAGCCAACAGGGCTAGCATCTGTAGCAAGTATCACGGGGAAGTCTGGGTTGTATGGAGTAAGGACTGTGTCACTTGCTATCTCTTCTTTAACACAAGTAAAAGCTTTTTCACATTCCTGGGACCAGTGAAAACGTTTTTCTTTCCTTAGAAGCTGATGTAAGGGATTTAGCAGTGTAGATGCATCTTTGATGAACTTTGAATAGTACTGTACTAGTCCAAGGAATTGACGCACTCCTGTGATATTTGTTGGACGGGGAGCATCCTGGATTGCCCTTACCTTTTCTGGTGATTTCTGGATACCGTCTTTGCTGATGATATGACCCAGATACTGCACCTTTCTCTCAAAAAACTTGCATTTTTCAATATTCACATGTAGATTGTGTTGTTCCAATTTTTCTAAGACCTTTATGAGCCTGGATTTGCATTCTTCAAAAGTGCAGCCTTGTACAACAATATCATCAAAATAAGCCACTGTCCCTTCAAGATTTTGTACGACTTGGTCAATAAATTTATGAAATTCATTTGGGGCAGTCTTAATTCCGAAAAACAGTCTTTTTGCTAGATATGTACCCTTATGTGTGGTAATCGTCTGGATTTTAGAACTTTCAGAGTCCACTGAAAGATGTAAATAAGCCTTGTAAATGTCTAAAGTGCAAAAATAGTTTCCATTTCTCATTTTGTTAAGGATATCCTCTATTCTTGGTATTGGATAACGACTGTCATGTAGTTGTTGGTTCACAGTTACCTTGTAATCCGCGCAAATATGGACCGCTCCATTTGCTTTTGGAATCACAACAATCGGTGTTCCCCACTCAGATTGATCCACTTTCTCTATTACGTCTTCTTTTTCAAGTTTATCTAGTTCATTCTCAACAGCTTCTCGAAGAGCATGAGGTACTGGTCTGGGTTTTAAGTACACAGGTCTTGAATTATCCTTTAGTTTTAAAGAGCATGTAAAGTTGGGTGTTTTACCAATGCATTGTTCAAAAACGCTTGAGAATCTTTGCTTGATAGATTTGACAACAGTGTTGGTATCAACCTCTGGTTTCTTCATATTAACAAGATTAATATTGTGTAAGTTAATTTTCAATTTTCGAATCAAATTCCTTCCAAGAATAGCGTTTTTAGGTAGATTTACAATGTATAGATCCTCTCTGCAAGATCTACCTTCGTAAGATATGCTTAGGGTACAGACCCCGATTGGTTTGAAAATTTGTCCAGTATAAGATCGAAAAAGAGCACTTGTTTTGCAAACTGGAACATGTAAGTCTAGTTTCTTGAAGTCATCATTATTTATTATGCTAACACGACTTCCGGAATCACACTCAAAACGTTGCTGTTTACCATTTAGAGATACGTTAATCATCATTCTGTCATCTCCTTCGTTATTCTTCAATACATTTATGATCCGTTGAACGTCGTATTCATATTCAGAATCAATTTCATCAACCCTTTTTACATTTTTCTCTGAAGACTGTAATTCCTGTATTCGTTTCGCTATGCAAACCTTTTCTATGTGTCCATCTTTATGACAATACCTGCAATTTAGTTCATCTATTAATCGGCAATTTTGTGTTTCGTGGTTATTCCTTCCACAGTGCAAACAGACATCTAAAAGTCCCAGTCTTTGTAGCCTTTTGTTTTTCCTGTCTTTCTTTTTGCTTGAGTCATTAGAGGTTTTTGGTTGAGAAACTTTTATTCTTAGGGCCGATATTGTTCTTTGTTGTTTTAGTTATTTTGTGAATGTCATTCTGGTTATTACTAGTATATAAAATCTGGTTGTCAAGTTTTGATGCCTCTATAGCCAAGGCGATTTCTAAGGCTTTGTCAAATGATATTTCCCCCAGTTGTAAGAGTTTTTCTCTGATGTCCGAGTCATATAAGCCTCTGATGAATTGAGCCCTGAGCATGAGGTTTATAACTGATTTTGTACATTTTCCTTCTTTACACCCAGATTTGAAATCTGCTGAACAAGCCAGTTGATTGAGGACTGTGACATAATTTGTGATTGATTCATTTCCATCTTGTAAACGGGATAAGAATTTGTGCTTTCTGTAAGTATGTTCTTCTTTGGGCTTAGGTGCTCATTTAGTAATATCAGTAATTCTTGATATGTTTTTGAGTCTGGTTTGTCTGGAGATGTTAGACTACAGATCAGATTGTAGTGCTTAGCACCTAAGCAATTGATTAAAAATAAACCTTTCAATTGTTCAGTCTCTGAGTCATTGTCCGTCAATCCTTTTATTTTAAAAAATATTTCTAAACGCTGAGTGTAGCTTTCAAACGTTTCCTTACTTTCGTCATAAGCATCAAACATCAAGGCATTGCTCTGTAGTAGTTCCTTGGTACTATGTTTTGATCTAGGCTGTTCTGTCTGTTGACTTGTATGTTGTGTCATTAATGTCATAAAACTGTTCAAAGTAGATATAAGGTCTTGTATTTCAGTCATTTTCTTCCTCGTCGCCAAATTATTAGATATAAAAATAATACAAAATATATGAACACAACTCTTGATACATGTTTATTTCTTAATAATAAATGTAAACATTGAATTATTTACAATATGAAATTATTCCAGTCATATGATCAATATTAAATAAAAGATAGATTATTTGGAATATATAACACTGACTTTCCGAAAATGCACTGCTCAATGCAAGGGGGTGCTAATTTCATTGGCCAATAGTTAGCTTGGCCCATTCTAACTTTAGGATTTTCCCCACAGAACACTATTCTTAATTTACTGTAATAATATCTAAGATACGGTATTTTGTAATTTGTACCAAATATATACTTATCATAAAAAGTTTCTCAAAATTTCTGTAATACAGTCCTTTAATACCCCTTCAACATCTGCGCTACTTTCTGGTTCCCTATTGATTTTCGTAGATGTGTACAAATCTTTCTGTTAGATCACGAACTGCTGCCTCGTTGTCCATGTATCTGTCCTCAATATTCCAAGCATGTTCGCATCTTTTTCTCCACTCTTCGGGTGTAATTAGGCCAATCTTTTCCTTTACGAGTTCAATGCAATCATTTAACTTAAATGTGGTGTTTTTTGAAGCGACATGATTTTTTAGGAGTGACCATATCATTTCTATGGGGTTAAGGTCTACCCAGTAAGGTGGAAATCGTAATACAGTGTGTTCTCGTCCTCTCCCTCTTCACCCTCTTCCTCTTCGGCCTCGTCCTCTGTGACCTCTTCCTCCTTGAGGAATTTCTCTAGGCTGGTCCCTATTTTCTGACAGAATAAAGAAGCTGTACATCAGAAGTAATTGCACATCTTAGTTTATTACCGTACCTGGTATGAGTTATGAATAAAGAAAATATTTTAAAAACCACTATGTATGATGTTGCTGTTCACCCCTCCTCCCCCCCTAGGATCAGGTCTCGCTTTTCAAACACTTGGCCGACAATCAAGTCAGCGACTTCGTTAGTAGAAGGAGCATTGTAACGTCCACTGTGAGTATTAGAAGGCTTTTCGTCAGCAATGATAACTACCTGGAAATCGTGAACATCTTTGGGAACAGACTCAACAGCAGCTTCGAAGTCCTTGATATACTTATTATTTTCATGAAGAATTTTCTGAAGCTGACCCACCAACGCAGGCTTGACATTTTGAAAGTAACCACAGCGTATGTATCTTTCATTGTTGTCATCACCAACAAAATATATCTGTAGGAAAGACGGCTGCTGTTGTGAGCCAGGCATCAAATTCCCTATTCTATGGTAGACCTGGCCCTGTACCTTAAATGTTGGCATAAAATGTCTCTCTTTAATCTCTTTTGCTCCAAATGACGTCATTTGAAAACAACCGTTGTATTTTCGACAACAAATAAAACAAATTTATTCCTCTACACTTATATTTGATTACAAACTAATTGAGAAATTATCTTAATGAGAAAAGGTTTGACAATGGAAATCAAACAAAGAAAAAGTGCACTTAACATTATATATTTTTAAGATATTTACATAAGTTTAAATTACAATTTATACAGTTGTTAGTCATGAGGACCATCTCTTATCAAAACCGGATAAAAATTACTCAATATTATATACATACTGGACGGACACACACACACACATAATATATATAATCATATAAATATAAATATAAATATAATATATATAAGTTTACTAGCTAGTTAGTAGTGCTAGTTCGGATCAGTTTGACATCGTTCCTAGTCAACAAGCGATCTGCTTCTTTTTGTGATTTAATTTCTCTGTGTATGAGTTTTGATGGCCTGGCCTCACACTGAAATATAAAAGGCAGAAATATAAAAGTTTAATAATTCAAAATAAAATAAAAATACTAAATGTACTCAAACTTTTCCCCACTTTAACCTAAGTTAACATACATTTGCATATACACACCGTATATATATATATATATATATATATATATATATATATGTATCAATTTGAACGAATGGTGTTTTTGACTTCTGGGGACATCAAAATGAAAAATATCTGAAAAAAGACAATTCTTGAACCTCTAAAGTACATTCTTGCAAATTATTAATCAAGTAAAAATATCATAAAAAATGCTTACCAAACATCGAGCAACAAGTTTTCGTTTCTAGGAACTTCCTCTTAAGGGGGAAATTTCCCATTTTCTTTCCTGTAAGGGAAAACAATTCTGCAACTTCGTCCACTAATGTTGCTTTTAGGATATTAATCATAAAAATGTGCATCTTTTCCTCCAAGTGTAGACACTTTCACCTTAAAATAAAAAGTATCAGTTACTTGATGAAACATTCTAGTAGGCCTATCCATTTTAATGTTAAGCTTACCAAATCTATTTAATTTTTAATTGTAAGGGTAACTTCTGCAAAAAAAATTTAAATCCTACCCTAGTATCCAGGCTTTAGCGAAGAAAGAATTGATGGAATCTCATTTAGAATAAATGGCATCACACAACTGACACTGACACAGTCTTTCGTCCTCTAATTTGCATAAAATGACTTTTTTGCAATACAATTGAATGAAAACACAGAATAATTTATATATTTTTAAATCGACTTTTCAATATTCAATCATATTATCATAAAAAATAGGGAGCATTTCTAAAAAAAAATAAAAATTTTGAGTACGGTAATTTTTAAACTAAGTTTAAAAGATTTAATGTGGGTGAGAAAGGTTCAACACTGTAACATTTTTAGAAAAAATAAAATAAAAATTGTAAGAGAAGTATCTCATGTTAAGCCATTATCACGCTCCCTACCGACCACTCTACACTGTAACTGAGGGGTGAGTATGGTCGGTAGCTAATGTGTTAATAGAAACAATACATATAAAAGTTAGGTTTTAAACACTACCTATACTTACAAAGGATTTTTTGAAGAATTCTTCTTCTAATTTTACTTCAAATTCTTCAAACTCCCCAATCGTCTTTATTGGCAAAAACTTTAACATATCTTCGTTATATTGTGTGCCAATAATCTGATTTGCGTTTAAATTATTAATCCTTTGGTTGATTTGGATTTGGTCGACCTTTTCACTCAGCGAGGCAATCATTCCAATCATGTGGTTCATTTTATCCATCACTGAAACACAAAAATAGTGTTAGAACTTTGAACCAAGTATTGAACACAGATAAATAAAATTTGTTCTATTAACCACCGTTTGAGTAAATGCATTAGACTCGCAGTACCGTGATCCGGTAGATATAGGCCTAGAACCGTGATACTACCGGATAAGTTAAAATGCCGGATTACTGGAATGTTAACAATAAAAACACTTTAAATTCACTTTTAAAAAACACGTTTCCGAAAATTGGGAAATAGGAAACCTCTATTGCCGTGATCGGACTACATAGTAAAAATTATAAAAAATCTAATTAAATTAAAATTTTAATTTTAGGGCAAGCATACGCACAAAATATTTGTTTATAAAATAGTTTATACAAAAAGTTTAATAATTCAAAATAAAATAAAAATACTAAATGTACTCAAACTTTTCCCCACTTTAACCTAAGTTAACATACATTTGCATATACACACCTTAATCATCCTAAGTACATCTGAATATGTCTCCTTTTTTGTCCGGAAGCAG